CTTTTAAAATTACCTATTTAAACTAGCAGCCCTAATAACTCTAACGGATTTCAAGACACTAAATGGCGGATTTAATATGGGGGCAGCTGCCCCCACTAAAATTTTAAAAAATTTTGGAACTTAAGTATAATTTTAAAAATTTTAAGAATTTTTTAAACTTATCCCACTAAAATTTTCTTAATTTTCTTAAAGTATAGAGTATATTAATATAATTTTAAACATTTAAATACTAACTTTTGGCAGCTCCTTTTCATGCTTACTTTTTTTTTTTCGTAAGCCTTCGTCTTCTTCGTCCAGACTTCCGGTCCAATCCATGCGTGCAGCCACCAACCCCTCTTCTTTCTATTATTTAGTTTCTTTGTTAGTTCATTTGGTATATTCACCAACAAATCATCCTATTGGATTCAATCATTGTTCAAATTAAATTTGATAAAAGATTATACTGAAGCTAAGGAGAGGTAATTCATTAACTAAATTTTTTGATAGTAGTATTAGCACTAATCTAAAATCAGATTTTTTATATTAGAAAATTAGTTTAACTCTTGTAGAATTGATGGTTATTTGGTTTATTATTTATGGACTTATGTAGATTTTTTTTGTTTTGTCTTGTGTCACCACTCAACTATTTTGAATTTTTGTTAAAGCTCATTTTCATATTGGCTATCTGAGATTTTTGGTTAGTGCTATTTTTCTTCCCTAAGATTAAATTGTTTTAATTGATTTCTTGAAATTCTAGTTTGGATTATATTTTGGATTTTTGAATTATATTTTTATTATGTGTAGTTTATTATCTCATTTGTTATGAACTTAATGACGAACTCTTATATTTGAATCTAATTAGACAAATTTATTTTTTAATCAGTTATGAATATATTGACCTCAGTGAGACAAAATCCTAGCTCTGCCCTGAAGACACTAGAGGCTATTTGTTTGATGAGTATGGGAGGTTTTGAAAGGATGAATTTAAGTAACATAATTCGATAAACTATTTAATCTTATGTTTATTTATGACTTAATCCCATGCTAAAATGTTGGGCAGTCTAGTCCAACCCGAGCTATCCACTATCCATGCATGTAGGACTTTTTGTCGACGTAAAAGGTAGGACACCTAATAAGAGATTTTTGAGAAATGTTAAAAGTGTACAATCATTAAAATTTTCGTAAACTACTCAAATTTTCCAAAAAATATAAAAAATCCAATCTGATTCCAATGATCAAGAATATGATGTTTGGATATACATGGTTTGTCATGATCAAATAGTTAAATTTTTATTTTTATTAAAATAATTGTATGTTATCAATGACACGTAATATTACGAATTAATAATAGTACACCATGTAGCATAAAAGAACCTATTGTTTCAAAGTGTTAATTAGTCCGGGTAACGGTTATTGAAAGTTACTAAAATAATAAAATCCACTAAACATGTGATATCATTGGTGACATTAGCCTATGGGCTCTTAAGTGTCATTTTTTTGATACAGTGCCTCCAAAGTAGGGGTGATAATTTTTAATACGACACGATAACCCGATATGAATAAATGAGTTTGGATTGACTAATTTTTTTTGTCAACCCTTGTATTGACACGATCCGTCAACACAAAGTGTTAATGGGTCGTGTTCGGGTTTAACCCGTTTAACACGAATTAATCTGTCAACACGAAATTTTTAACTCCAAGGAGATTGACCTGGGATTTTCGTTACATATATGAGTTTTCATGTTTTGATGTCTTATTTTTTCCATTATTTATGATGTTTAATTTGGTTGTGTGATGTACGATTAACATATTTAATTAGTATTATAGAAATAAAATATTAATTATTTATAATTGTTTATCAAGTACTGACATAATTATTGTATAAAAAAGATATTATTACTCATTATTATTATTATTAAGTTAATTTTTAATTTGTAGAAAAAGTATGAGGAGAGATTCAATTAAGTAAAAATAAAATTTTATTGTTAAATTTTTTTTTCAAAGTTTATGGGGGTCAATACAAAAATGAACACGAACATAACACGAAAATAAACAGGTCAACTCGACACGACACAATTAATTAAATGAGTTGGATTTGAATTGACTAATGTTCGTCACGATTAATGTTCGACACGACATGAACCCGACACAATACGACTTGATTGTCACCCCTACTCCAAAGGCTTATTTATAGTAGTGTTTAATATTGTGGCCTTTGGGTGATGCTCCATGCATCGCTACCCCGGGGTTTAGGCAGGAAAAAAAAATGTGATATCATTGATGACGCAATATTGTCGTTGTAATGAATATTTTCTCCAATTTGTGCGTCACAAGCGTTTTTTAAAATTTATATTTTTTTTTTCAATTCAAAAAAATGAGTTGTACTTATTTAATGGGCACACTAGCAAAAAAAAATTATAATATAATGTGGTTTAGTGGTGTTTATAACTCCATCTTTCCGTATAGTATTAAAATTTTCTCACCAGCATGGATAGCGGATATTAAAATCAAATGCATGAGAATATGACTTGGGTTAGTCAAGAATTTTTGGGTATAGAGAAGGATTTTTGGGGCAGCTAGATCACATAAGTTCCTCTTAAATTTATGGTGAGAATCCAAATATTAAAATTCTCTCTTTCCCTTCGGTGGTGTTGTGGCGACCGGCTTGATTATTTCAGATTAGTAATTATGATTTAAATTAAACATTCTATAACGGATGAAAATTTTAAGGTAATGTCTTGAGAAGGTTATTATGCCTAATCGCCCCTGATCACCATTTTTAACCAACAAAAAAGAAAAAGTAGGATGGTTATAGAGTCGTGTTGGGTCATTCTTAGGTCGTATTTGTTATCAAAAACCAAGGTGTATATAATTAGATTTAAGAAATTTAATAACTGTTGCAAATATAAATTAGAAAGCCTATTGTTTAAAACAAAATAATGTACTCACATGGATGCAAACACAACAGCAACGATCAGAATCAAAAAACTAGAATAAATAAATAATAAATTTGTATCCACAGTCTCTTTAAGACAAATTTGTCCCCTTTCGAAGCTCAAAGTTAATGAGTAATTGTCTCCCAAAATAGAACGTATTTACATTCTTAGATAAATAACACTTCAATCTCTAAGTTCCAACGAACACAATTTTGTGTCTTGTACTTGAACCAACGAAGAAGAACAACGATGCAACAACATGTATGCAGAGGGAGATAAGTATGAAAGTCAAGAAAAATTGTTCTTGAATAAAAAAATTTAAACAATTGCCCAAATTGAAGAAGAATAACCTAAACAAAATCTTATACAAATGTCTCCTAAAAAAAAATATTAATATTATCTATTGAAATTTATAATTTTTAAGTAATAAATAAAATCTTATTTATTTATAAGACTTGTGAATCTATCACCTCTACTATCACTCAATCCAATAAACACAACATAATTATAAACTTAATCATCATATTTCCAATCCACCCTATTCATGTGCAATAAAATATCTCAACTAAAAAAAAAAAAAATACTAACAGAATACAATTAAATTTACAGTCTTTAAACGATAAATAAAATCAACAAAATTTTACTCATTTATAAAACTCATGAATTTATCACCATTATTACCATTCAACCCCAAATGACACAACATAATTATAAATTTAATCATCAAATGTCTAATCCTCCACATAATACACAGAAACACATCCACACACATTTCTTTTTTGGTTACCAGCAAACCCTCATAACCAATAATTATTTTTATTAGAACTATAACAATTCAAGTTTTTAAGATAAAATAATAATAAATTAATATCTAATTAAAAAAGGGTAAAAATCACTCGCATCTCTTGAATTTGGGCAATATTATAAAGATATCTTTTAACATTTTATAAATAACATGGAAACCCCTATAATTTGAAATTCATTACACGAAAACCCCCTTTGTCTCCCTCCCATCAATGTTACTAACAAAAATTGGTTATTTATTTCCAAAAATTTTTATTATTTTATAATTGTCCTTCTTTATATTTTGCACCAAAAAAAATTAAAAATTTAATAAAATTTGACTTAGTACCCAAAAAATTGATATAATTTAGTACCCCAAAAAATTAATTAAATTAATTTGATAACAATAAAAAATAATTTGATATTAATGTGAAAAAATTGAATATAAATTGAACAAAATTAGATTTTAATTTTTGATAAAATTATATATTAATTTACAATCTAAGGTTTATTTTATGTTGAATATTATTTAGTGTTTATAGTCAATGTTATATTTTTTATTTACATTAAATGTTATTTATAAATTAAGAAACAAGTGACAAAACACATGACGTCAAATACATAAAAATTTTGAATTAGTTTTATAGAATAAATAATTACATAACACGTAATTTCATCTGTTTTATAGAATAAATAATAATAAAAACAACACATGAGAAGTAAAAAAAAAGATAATAGTATGAGAAAGAGAGTTATACGAGAGATGAAAGTCTTAAAATTGTAAAAAAAATAAAAATCTAATTAGAACTATTAGATCAAAACGATTTGAGCAACGAAAAACTAACTACTTTATTATATAGATAATTGTGTGTAAAATTATCACTATTACCTCTACAACTCTCTATAATGTAATGTAAATCCCACTCTCAAAACAAAAAAATAAAATAAAATGGAGTAATGTAATTGAATCTAATGTTTTAATCACTTCATTATTGTTATGAAATTAGTTAAATAAATTTATTATTAATCCAATGATAAATAATAAAGTAAAAATAATAAAAATAAATTAAATTTACATATAATTATTGAAAAATTAGCGATGGTGCACATAAAAGCAGTCCTAACAAAACTGTCCCATTGATTCCGCTGTAATTGACACTTGTCAACATCATCTTCACAGTTTGTACGGTAAAATATCAGCCCCATGAAGTTCTTCACCTCACACATTCTCTCTCTCTCCTCCCTCTTCCCTCTACAAACACTCCTCTTTGTCTTACAACTCCTCCATCAACACACCCATCCCGCTTCTCTCTAGACCTCTTCTCTTTCTCTTTCTCTATCTCTATCTCTCTTTCTATATAGACACAAACAGACACCCCCACCTAGAGGATTCATCTTGTGGTGGCTCTGTTTCTTGCTCTGTTTTTCTAAGTGTACAATGACGGACATAACAGACGACATAGCGGAAGAAATCTCATTTCAGAGCTTCGATGATGACTGTAGACTACTGGAAAACCTTCTTAACGACGTCCTCCGAGGGGAAGTAGGACCCAAATTCATGGAAAAACTTGAAAGAACTAAAATCCTCGCTCAGGTCCTCTGTTCTTCTCTGTTTTTCAGCTTTGTCAATGAAGTCTTTCTTTCCCAAATACCCCCATACAATTCTTCAAATACTTCTTGATGTTGTCTATTTTTGAGTCTGTGGTTTTTTGGGTATTGGTATTTTATCATGTATTCAAAACTACAGGCATTAGTTCAAATCATCGTGTATCTTGTTATCTGGGTTTCTGGGCTATTTTTTGTCTGTACCTAACTACCTATATGCATATGTTAAATGTATTTGTTTTATTTTAATGTGCATTTTGTTATTTGGGTTTGTGGGTTTTTGTTATTGTTCATGTACATGCATGTGCTCATCATAATGTTTATTAGGTCGTAATCTGTGATTCGTTTATGCTATGTGTTTTTTGTGTTTTTATCTTTTGGGCTTTCTGATTTATTCAGTTACATGCATGGGTTGATCTTATTTATTTCATACACACGACACAAATTTATGAACACTAAGATTTTAGCTGCTTTTAGAAAGTTTTTATACTGTGATTCAGGGAGATAATTCCTTTTCTGATCTTGTTTGTATGTGTATGTGTGTGTGTTTATATATATGGTACTTGCAAGATGGTAAGGAAAACAAATTCTAATGGACATTTTGGGTACAGAGTGCATGTAACATGAGAATGGCTGGGATTGAGGATACGGCAGAGTTGCTTGAGAAGCAATTGGCATCAGAGTTATCAAAAATGACATTAGCGGAAGCCTTGACGCTTGCTAGGGCATTCAGTCATTATCTCAATTTGATGGGTATAGCCGAAACCCATCACAGGTAAATCTGAACTCTCTTATCCTTTTGTTGATATATCATAAGTTCAATTAGTCAGCTTTCATTTCAATGGCTGGTAGTTGGTACTATAGAGATTTGAATTAAATTTGAACTCCAATGATTATGAATGTTCTGTATTCATCTAGATGCTACAATAGTTCTGTCATTGATTTTTAAATTCTTTGAAAGTGATAATAATCCTGAATTGATACTTTATTTCTGGATTGCTACACTTCTTTATGTTTATTCTCATGCATAGCTTCCCTTAGTGGCCTCTTGGTTACAGGTTTTTTTTTCCCCATTTCGTTTTGAAAACAATACTCTGCACTTTTTCGTGTCTAAAAAATGACCATGAAATTCCTTTATATTATTCAAAATCGGAAAAAGTTGTATTTTAGTGGACTGTTTCAATTAGACGGTGTTATAAATCCCTCAAAAATGTTTTACAGAGTAATGTTCTCTTATGCAGCAGAGTACGAAAGGCGCGGGATGTGGTACATTTATCAAAATCTTGTGATGATACGTTCAATCAGCTGGTGCAGGGTGGAGTTTCCACGGATGAGCTTTACAACACTGTTTGCAAGCAGGTCTAGTATTATTTTCTCGTGTCCTTTTAGTTTTATTTGTTCATATATATCATTTCATTGCAGCATACGAGGAGTTGTGGGATTTTATTTGTTACTTTGACGAGTTGGTTTCTTTCTGTTGCAGGAGGTTGAGATTGTTCTCACTGCTCATCCCACACAAATAAATCGAAGAACATTACAATATAAACACCTTAGACTTGCTGTAAGTTTTTTGTAATGATCTTTCATACATGTGTAAAACTCTGTTATTTAACTTTCTGCGGTGGACATGGCTTACATTCTAAGTTTTTTTACAGCATCTTTTAGAGTATCGTGACAGAAAAGATCTTGGGAGCGAAGATAAAGAAATGCTAATAGAAGATCTGGTGCTGTCTCTTCCTAATAAAGTTTGAGAAATTTCTCCCAGTGTTCCTTAGGATCCTTAATTCTTTCTGGATTTTGTAGGTCAGAGAGATCACTTCATTGTGGCAAACAGATGAGCTTAGGCGCCATAAACCTACACCAGTAGATGAAGCTAGGGCTGGTAAATTCATCGAGTTTTAGTTACACAAAAACATCAATCCTTTGGTTCTATCAAAACATCATGTATATTATTCTTTCAGGATTACACATCGTGGAGCAGTCCCTTTGGAAAGCTGTACCTCACTATTTACGCCGTGTCAGCAGTGCTCTGAAGAAGGTTTCGTTCAATCTCAATTTCCTGGTTCTTTTAATTCGTATACCATATTTTGTGGCTTTTAATTGGTCTCTCACGATTTTCTCTGCATTTCTTTTTCTAGCATACTGGAAGGCCACTCCCATTGACATGCACACCAATAAAATTTGGATCTTGGATGGGTGGTGATAGAGATGGGAATCCAAATGTAACAGCAAAGGTTGGTTACCAACATTTACTTAATTTCGTTGTTTGCATCTCACTGGTACAGTTGTATGGAAGGAACTCTCCCCAATAATTCAAAAGATCATATATCTTTCTAGAAGCATGCAATCTTTTATTTGCAAATTGATCTCTGATATTGATAGATGATCCATGTGATACAATAGCGAGGTGTGTCTCACAAAGAGTAACTTGTGGACATTTTGGAAATGGAATGGGGCATTCGACATGGATGAGCTAAACTATGTTCTGAAAATGCCTTCTTCCCAGACTGTATTGCAAAAATTGAACAGCCCAAACAAGATTTTGTTTCCCATCCAATTCACGTCCCCCTTTACAGAAATTTTACTAGTATATAAATAGGAGTTAAGATTTGAGCCTTGATTAACAACTTCAGAGGAAAACATGGAATTTTGANGTTTCCCATCCAATTCACGTCCCCCTTTACAGAAATTTTACTAGTATATAAATAGTAGGAGTTAAGATTTGAGCCTTGATTAACAACTTCAGAGGAAAACATGGAATTTTGAGTCATACTTTAATTCCGAAGTTGCCAAAGTGAGTAGCAATTTTAGAATCCTTACTGGAAGAACATTCTTGAGCATGTGGTCTTAGTTTCACACAGTATGTTGTATTAATTGTAGTATCATGTCCATTAAGCCATCATCTCATTGCGAGGTAAATTCTCAATTGTTTCAGGTGACAAAAGATGTCTCCCTTTTATCCAGGTGGATGGCTATTGATCTCTACATACGGGAAATTGATAGCCTCAGATTTGAACTGTCAATGAATCAGTGCAGTGATAGATTGTCAAGACTGGCACATGAGATTTTGGAAAAAGGTCTGGCATGTCCATGTTCTTTCAAACTTTCTCGGGAACTTCTTCTGAATATAGCTGTTGATATCTATCAGTCTCTGTACACATATCAATTCATGACTTCTAACTGGCTTATATTTCTCACCTTAAATAATTAACAACAAAATTACAAATAAAAAATTGCCAAGATAAAAATCAAGTCAGCTGGCCGTCCATATATACTTGTGTGTGTGTGTGTCAATGATTGCAGGTTAAGTTGTCAGCTGAAACAAGTAAACTAATGTGATAATTCCCATTTCTACTTGAATTTTTTTCGCCCGAAATTTCAGTTGATCATCTTGAACGGTAATTGAATTGATAGCTTAGAGCGATCAACTGGAAACTGATATTTCATTTCAAAGATCATAATTGTTGAAACATGTGAGGTCAGGTATGTGATGGCATCAATAAACAAAAATAATGACATATCTAAATAGGGGACTATGGGATTAGAAAGTGACCAATGTTTTGGAATTAAAGAATGATTGAATAGTGATTTTGCAAGGAATACTACTTGAGTCTGAGGTGGCAAGGTTATTGTGTGATGATTTCCTTATTAATTTTTGCTTGATTGATTTTATTGAAATATTCGATCCTTGAAAACTTACCCAATTTGACATTCNGAATAAACAAAAAAAATGACATATCTAAATAGGGGACTATGGGATTAGAAAGTGACCAATGTTTTGGAATTAAAGAATGATTGAATAATGATTTTGCAAGGAATACTACTTGAGTCTGAGGTGGCAAGGTTATTGTGTGATGATTTCCTTATTAATTTTCGCTTGATTGATTTTATTGAAATATTCGATCCTTGAAAACTTACCCAATTTGACATTCTTGTGCAAACTCATTTTTTTCTGGCATTTTTCGATTTAATACCTTGTTATGAGAATCTGTATGTGATCTCTCTGGAAATGAAACACTTGTTCCTGATTGCCAAATCATCTAGCTCAACATGGTCCACAAATTAAGCATGCTACATAGTTGATGAAAGAAGGAATTAACTGGAGATACAGAATGTGGTATTTACATGAAATCTTCTGTGTTTAGTGTCTCTCTTCTCACAGTAATCAAGCAATCTGACATTGGTTCTGCTAAGCTATCCGTCCTAAAGTATGAATGCACTATCTCTTTTGAATATCACAAAACTCCAGCTGCAACACTAGGGAGCTACACTTTCCCAAAGGAAAAAAAAAACACTAGCTAGCTGCTTCTTTGGTTTGATGCTGGCTCAAATTTTCTCCAGAAGCTCTATCAGAGGATCGACACGAGAGTTGGAACCAAACACTAAGCTGGAATCAATCGAAGCATCACAGCCAACAAGCTCCCTCGCTTCCTACACAACTTCCAGCTCGAGCTGATCTACCCTCTTGCACAGGTTGAACTATTTGTGCTGGCACTCTTCTGTTTCTCTATCTGAGGCATATTCACACTTTGTTTTGTTTCTTTTTCTTTTCGGTCGTTAATGGAATCTCTGAGTTGGTTATATGACAAATTGCCACCGGTGGTCACAAAACTCCCACTTTTACTTTGTTTCCATGATGCTTGTAAAATTTTCATTTATTTGTCTTTGGGATTGTTCCAGTCACCCAAGATTCCTGTATCTGCCACAGTTATTTTAGGCAAGTTTCTTACACTGTTTTATTGATCTCTTTAATTATGGCTTTAGTGAGATTCCAAATCTAATGCCTTTTGGCTTTAGTGAGATTCCAAATCTAAAGACTTTTGGCTTTAGTGTGTAATGTCAGAAGGCTTTCTGTTGTAAATTACTACTACTCTCAATGACTAAAGTTCAGCTTACATGTTTCTTCAAGGATATGTTGGGTCAGTGCCTCGAACTTCCTAACTAATGGTTCCTTGTATTTTCTAACAGTTTCCATTACTAGTTTGCCGACATCCTTATCATGAACCTTTATGTAATGTGTTGATCTAATATTTATTTGATCTGGTATTTATGTTGCTGAATATGAATGATAATTAGCAGTTGTTAAGAACATAAATGTTCTTTTGTAGAATGCAATGACGTGGAATCTCACTATCCTCGACTGGATCTTCCTGGAACAGAGTACAAGCCATTGAATCGTCAGGTGATGCTAGTTCTAAGACTTCTAATATTTTTGTGGCAGTTCATTACGTGTTCTGTCCAATGCTAGTCCAGCATTTCGTTATATATTTTAAGTTAGAAAACTTTTTCTGTTCTTTACAGGATGGTCAAAATTCATCAAGGCTGGATTCTTCATTCCAGGATTCCCATATACATCTTCCGAAAACTTCTGCAAATGGAAATATAGCTAATTCTAGCAATGCTCAGTCAAAAATGGGAGCACGTGCCGCTTCTTTCAGCTCTAGTCATCTCCTTGCTCAGAGGAAACTTTTTGCTGAATCTCAGATTGGAAGGACCAGCTTCCAGAAGCTTCTGGAACCAAGCATTCAGCCTGGAATTGCTCCATATAGACTTATTCTTGGGAACGTAAAAGAAAAGGTACTCTTCTATATTTGTGCTGCACCAATGATGATTACTATGCAGTGGTGAGCTATCTGTGACTGTGGCTTTTGTAAAATCCACATTGCACTGGTTTTGATAATTGATAACATTGCCTGTGACCAGAAAAAAGGGTGCACCAATTTTATAAAGAAAATTGCCAATTGTAAGTCCTCTATGTTGCATATAGATTGAATTTTGATGGAAGGCTTCAGGGACAGCCAGAATTTAGGTTCAGGGTGGGCCAAAACATGGACAAAGAAACTTCACCAATTAATATAAGCTATTAAAGTTTTGGTCATATCTTAAGTGCATATATAAGAAATATATCAATAATTAAACTAACACCATTCAACCTTAACAAATATGGAACAAAAGAAAAGATGCAATATTTGTGCCTTAATGTGTTACACCTCCATCATCAACTTGACGTTATTTTATGTCCCGAGGGTAATCTATAACTGATTTTCTGTGTAAAATTTTTGAGCGATTTCTTTTTTGATATACATATCAAAGAGTCCACAAATAAATTATCATTTATTTTATTAAAAATCCTATGTTTGAGAACATACATAGCCAAAAATGATCTCCATACCTAACAGGTATCAATGCTTTCAATGATCACTGAAATTACGACATAACTTAATGTATTTTTTAACTTGTTCAAGAAATGGGTGAATAAGAGGTGGATGAAGTTAGCCTTTTTATGGCAATCACCAAACACTTCCACATGCTTGGGTCACCAAAAGAAAGGTAAAAATTAAAGGGGGCACTAACTGAAAATATCATTAGTGTCTTGTATATGCAATACCACTTATAGGTGTTAATCCAAATGGCAGGGGGCACGTGCCCACCTTGGACTAATAGTAGCTCGGCCACTAGAAGCCTTTCAAGAACAAGCGTCATTGGGACATACTTTACTAACTTATTATTACGTTGTATGATCTACTAGGCTGTAGCTGATCATACTTCTAATGGAACATAGATTGATAAAAAAATATGTTATTTGTTAAAACATTAAGGTCAGCCTTTTGTTAGGTTGTATTTGTGTGGAAAGATGAAATGCTATGGTTATTGGAATCATTTTGCATCCAATAAGCTTTGTTGAGTTGAATTTTTGTGATATAAGCATTTCATCCAGTGGAGCTTATCAGATGAGAATTCACTTGTCGACATGTCAAATGTGAGAATGTGTTTTTTAAGAAGTCCACCTTTTGAAGTGGGCTCTTGGCCCTTTTGTCTACTCCTTGATATTTTTCAATTTGCTTCTTATTATCTTTGTTAAGACAGCTTGTATCTCATATTGAATAATTAGTAATTGAATAATTAGTAATTGGTTTATATGTGCTTCTTATAAATGTTGGTTTATATACTTGAGGGGTTATCTCATCCATTAGTAATTGGTCTTTTNCATAATTAGGACCATAAATGTTGGTTTATATACTTGAGGGGTTATCTCATCCATTAGTAATTGGTCTTTTGTGTTGGATGTTCTAGCATGGTATTAGAGCCAGACTTTGAGTGGTCAGTGAACCAAGTCCCCATTTGAATTTTCTGGTATGCATAGTTGTTTATTTGTTTGTTGAGCGCATGTTCAAGCCTGGGTCCCACGTGAGGGAGGCTGTTAAGAGAGCTTGTATCCCACATCAAATAATTACGACTGCAAAGGTTGGTTTACATGGCCACTCCACTATTGCCAATTGGTTTGGGGTTGGATGCTCTAACAATCCTCGCTTGATGATTAGTCGAAATGACGGAGTAATGTAAGTGTAACAAACCATCCAACTAATGAAAGTTATAGAACTCAAAACTACAATTTGGAGAAGCTCAGACTAATAAATGTTGCAAAACCAAAGACTATAATTAGCTTTTGATTTAGGAAAAGCACATGCTGCTGGACAGAAAAGATTTTTCCGAATGTGAATGTATAAATGGGTAATAAGCTTGAGGATGCTAATATAAGATGAACAAAAAGAGTAGGGAAGCTAGATTTAGACCAGAAATGCATAGAATGTAAACCGAAGGAGCTTCCAGTCTTGCAGCTGCAAATGGCTGATAAACAATGCTGATGAGAGGTGAGTTCTTGTTGTTGACTTTGTGGAGGAGCAAGGATATGGTATGCTATATGAACCAAAATTGTGTATTGTGTTGGGAGAAAGACCTGTGATCCAGGAAGATAGCGTCAACGCTTTTCTTATGGGTGACTCATACTTAGGAAGCAACACCTATAGATTGCTTCTTTTTTTTTTTATTCCCATTGTTCCCTCACTTCCTTTGCCTGTAATTCAGCTTATGAAGACACGGAAGCGGCTGGAGCTTCTTCTAGAGGATCTTCCTTGTGAACAGGATCCTTGTGATTATTATGAAACATCAGATCAACTTTTGGAGCCACTTCTTCTATGCTATGATTCTCTGGTATGCAATAAAATCTATCTCATATTACAGCTAGCAATTTGAATTGCACAGTAATAAAAGCATAACAACGGTTTAAATTACTACAATCTTCCTCCAATTTCATCTAATGACATAGAATTCATTCCAAAACCGCCCAAAAACATCTTTTTTGCACAGCTTCCAATGTTAGACAATTCAACTAACACGCTTTTGAATATCAGACAACCCCACTATTCCAAACCTATATTTCTCTTCTCTCTTCCCTCCCTCCATCTTATTTTCTTTCTATTTACTTTAATTTTAAATTGTGTAATTAAAGAAAATAATAAATTACAATTTAAAATATAATCGTTGCACGATCAATGCCCAATTTTTGGTATTACAGACTGTCTTCAGACATGGGGTTATTTTTAGTATATATATACCAACATATTCTTGCACATATGGCCTGCTCCTCCCCGCTGTATCTAACCCCATCCCAGCCCCCATGGACACCCACCACACACTACATGCAGCAAAAGAAAGAAAAACAAAAGATTTATGAAGAATAACAACATTTTTTGCCAATGTGATACCCTGATGTTTTGCAGCGATCATGTGGTTCTGGGGTTTTGGCTGATGGTCGGCTTGCTGACCTAATCAGAAGAGTGGCTACGTTTGGGATGGTTTTACTGAAGCTTGACTTGCGTCAGGTGTGTTTTAAACTGCAGGCTGTAACTTGTTCAGGTAATTTGTTATGACTAATTTTGCTATTTACCAGGAATCTGGTAGACACTCTGAAGCACTTGATGCAATTGCCAGATATCTGGATATGGGTACATACAGTGAGTGGGATGAAGAAAGAAGACTGGAATTTCTAACAAGAGAGCTGAAAGGGAAGAGGCCTCTGGTTCCTCCAACGATAGAGGTAAGGTTATACTGTCATATTAGACTAATTGTGAATTGTGAAAACGTTGACTTGTTATCCTTTGTAGGATGAAACACTATTAAGGATTTCTGTTTTTAGCATCAAAATTATGACAACCGTGGTGAAAGTTCTTTGGTATACAACTATCCTCCCCCTCCTCCCCCCTTCTTTTCTTTAGATGGAAAGGAACAACTGCCTTTTCCCCCCTTTTTATCATTAAAGGGTCCAACTAGATCCAGTGTAGTACCTATCAATCAAAGTCATTATGTGGCTCTGGCGGTGAAGAGGTGCAATGGGTTTTGGGTAGCATTCCAGTTTGAAGAGGGAAGTAAATCTTATATTTCTTTTCAGCCTTTGTGCGAGCAATGCTACAAGTTTAGGTGTGTAAGTACTCCCTGTCTTAGGAGAGAAAATCTACGTGACAGTCTTCTGCCTTTTGTTGCACACTTCGGCTTCCAAAGAGTAGGATTTAGTCCAAAAGAGTCTAGAACTGAATTTAATTCCACGGTCAGTTGTTATATAGGGACGTAAGTTGATACCAGAAAGGATGATGCGAAAACCAAAAGGTGGATTCCTGGATGCATTAATTGCATAATGGGTTCAATCACAATCTGTGTCANCTCCTCTCCCCTTCTTTTCTTTAGATGGAAAGGAACAACTGCCTTTTCCCCCCTTTTTATCATTAGAGGGTCCAACTAGATCCAGTGTAGTACCTATCAATCAAAGTCATTAAGTGGCTCTGGTGGTGAAGAGGTGCAATGGGTTTTGGGTAGCATTCCAGTTTGAAGAGGGAAGTAAATCTTATATTTCTTTTCAGCCTTTGTGCGAGCAATGCTACAAGTTTAGGTGTGTAAGTACTCCCTGTCTTAGGAGAGAAAATCTACGTGACAGTCTTCTGCCTTTTGTTGCACACTTCGGCTTCCAAAGAGTAGGATTTAGTCCAAAAGAGTCTAGAACTGAATTTAATTCCACGGTCAGTTGTTATATAGGGACGTAAGTTGATACCAGAAAGGATGATGCGAAAACCAAAAGGTGGATTCCTGGATGCATTAATTGCATAATGGGTTCAATCACAATCTGTGTCACCCTGTTCAATGCAGTAGACGTATTATGATAGCAAAATGATGTGCTTATGGTTGCTAGTACCTCCTTCCTTTGTTTTCCTCGAGCCAATATTCTCCTTGATAGCATGGTGACACCATTTGGAAATCATGCTAAGAAATTTCATAAAATGAGTTGAGAATGGTGTAGGTGATGATTTCTTATGAAATTTCCACATTTTTCTTATTGTCTCTGGGTTGGATTATGGTAGTTCCTTGCTGTGCATTTTCTGCACACCATGGTGTCTGTGAAAGTTGTTTGTTATATTTTCTAGATCAACTTTATCTTATTTTTCCCCTCATCTTCTCGAATGGATTTTTCCAGGTTGCCGCTGATGTTAGAGAAGTCCTGGATACCTTCCGAGTGGCTGCTGAGTTGGGAAGTGATTCCCTAGGAGCATATGTGATTTCTATGGCCTCAAATGTATGATCAATTAAAATTTACATAGTTGATATTTCATGTAGCTTTTCACACACATTATTGTTTTCTTTTTGCCTTATGCAATTACCAGTAATATTGCCTATGCTTGCTAATTGGCAGGCAAGTGATGTCCTTGCTGTGGAGCTTCTCCAGAAAGATGCCCGTCTTGCGATCTGTGGGGAGCTAGGTAGACCATGCCCTGGTGGAATGTAAGATTGCACCCCGTATCTCTTTTGAAGTATGCAATGACAATGCTTGAAACAACTTTGTCTGCTTTGGGATCTCTGTTAGGTGTTCTAAAGTGACATATGTGGCAGCACACACACACACACACACACACACATAGTACACCTGTTCACATCTAATAATTAATANCTATGTGGCAGCACACACACACACACACACACACACACACACACATAGTACACCTGTTCACATCTAATAATTAATACGGCCAAGGTTGGTTTATATACTTGAGGTGTCACTCCACCCATAGTCAATTGATTATGGGTTGGATGCTCTTACACACGTATATATGTAATATAGAAAGGGTTGGGGGTTTAGGAACGGGTATAAGTTTTGTAGCTTTTGGAATGGATTTGTCTTGCTCACTTTGTGTGATTGTTAGTTGGTGTTTTGAAGTTTCATGTTTTTGTTAAGAGATTGAATTATTCATGGCTTACACGTAAAGAAGGAAGTTTACTGGCATTCACTTACCATTCAACACCTCAGCAAAGTGGGCTACAATTATTTTTTTTTTTTCCAAGTCTCTTTTCTATTCTCTTCTCTCTCAGTATCTTCTTACCGTTCTATCTTCTCCGTCTTCATTGCAGTCACAAACATTCTCCCAAACTCAGTTTCGCACATTCACCCACCCCCACCCCCACAGAGTCGCACACACAAACAAACCCAGCAGAAGTCCCCTTCACAAACCCACCCAGCAGCCTCCTCACCAAACCCAACACAGGACCACCACCTGACCCACCTGAACCTCAACTCGGACCCACTTTCTTCATTACCCCAAATACCCATCGAAATCCCCCTTCCAATTCGTCCATTTTTGTGGGTGTGTGGATGCTGGTGCGTGTGTGTTTTTAGTCTGGAGAGAGAAGATAGAAAAGAGCGAGAAAATGGTGGGAGAAGAAAAAGTTGGAAGAGAGAAAACACGGTGAAGAAAAGACTCGATAGGGGTCCACATAATGATGTGTGTCAGTTTTTAACTGGTTTTTCGTAAATCAGATGTTTTACGATTAAGTCGTAAACAATTTAATCTCTTCTGTTAAAGCTGATAATTATGATTTTAATACATCCAAATAAATGCATGGCACATTTTAAAGGCCACCGGCTCTGTTCTCAATAATCAATGCCTTCAAGTGTCACTAAAGGAGTGGAATGATCAAGTTTGTGGTGCCAATTCACTTCTCCAGACTGGCCATATTAATGTCTGGCTTACTTTCTAGTAACCTGGCAAAGAAAGGGTGAAGTAGTTTCTTTTTGCCTGCTTGGTATTGAACCTGTTGATTTGCATTGCACAAACTACATATCATACTCACCCATTCTATGCATATCTTGGGATAGGCTGCGAGTGGTTCCTCTTTTTGAAACTGTGAAGGACTTGAGAGGAGCTGGCTCAGTGATCAGGAAATTATTGTCGATTGATTGGTACCGGGAGCATATCATAAAGAACCATAACGGGCACCAGGAGGTATATAAAACAAATACTTTTGGGGAAGGATATTATTGACATTTTAGTGAGGCTCTTGAACTTATGCAGTATTCGTGGACAGGTGATGGTTGGATATTCTGACTCTGGTAAAGATGCTGGGCGCTTCACTGCTGCGTGGGAACTGTACAAAGCTCAAGAGGATGTTGTAGCTGCATGCAAAGAATATGGTATCAAAGTCACTCTGTTTCATGGGCGTGGAGGAAGCATAGGTCGTGGTGGTGGACCTACACATGTTGCCATCCAATCTCAACCGCCTGGTTCTGTAATGGTGAGTTTTTGGTTGTAGTCTGCAATTGATGGATTTATTATGTGGTTAAGTTACAATGACACCCTTGACACTTGCATTAGTTATCCAGCCATTCCTTACACTTCCATTTAGGCACAAAATGCCCGCCCATTTTAAAGTTGTAATGCCAAGACCCCCTATGTCACCGAGAAAGATGACATTAGCATAAAAATACAATAAATTCCCTATATTACTTTCCTGTTTTAGTTTTCTTATTTTTGACCAATTTGATTTAATTTTGATGGTTTTTTAAGTCATTTCTCATTAAGAATACTGATTAGGATCATGTAGGAAATCTCAGTGGTGGACGAAAGAGATCCATTTGTCAGGGGGTGAAATTGTAATTTACCCTTAATATTTTATCTGTTAGTTTTTAATTTACCCTTAATATTTTATCTATCACTCCATTAATTGTTCCTAGTTTTTGGTTTTTCTACCATCCAACCAGGAAAATGTGGATATCTTAGTGTACTTAAATCTCCAACAAAATATGATGTAAAATCTGAGTCTCCGTGCACTGATTTGAACTTTTATAAATCCGAGTGACATTAGTAAGTTATTTTTGGTTACATAGTGCCAGATGTTTTAGCATGAATTTGGAGTGAAATGGTCTCATGCTACATAAGTTTGCGTGTTTTGGGTCTTAATGTGTAACANTCGTGCACTGATTTGAACTTTTATAAATCCGAGTGACATTAGTAAGTTATTTTTGGTTACATAGTGCAGATGTTTTAGCATGAATTTTGAGTGAAATGGTCTCATGCTACATAAGTTTGCGTGTTTTGGGTCTTAATGTGTAACATACCTTCAAAATTTCATTGATGAGTCTCACTTCCATAGTAATGGAAGTTAATTTTAATATTGCATCTGACAGTTGACAGAAATGTAGTAATCGTGAAAACAACTTTCCTATAAAACTCGTTGAAATGGCATTGAGCTTTCCTATGAAAACTTGCATTTTATTTAAAATGGAGTTGAAAATTTACTTGAATTTTGCAGGGTACTCTGAGATCAACGGAACAGGGAGAAATGGTGCAGGCAAAGTTTGGGCTACCACAAACAGCAGTTCGACAACTAGAGATCTACACAACAGCAGTGCTTCTTGCTACCTTACGCCCTCCACTTCCACCTAGAGAAGAAAAATGGCGTAATCTCATGGATGAAATCTCACAAATCAGTTGCCAGAGTTATCGAAGCACTGTCTATGAAAACCCTGAATTCCTTGCATACTTCCATGAAGCTACACCACAGGCTGACCTTGGATTCCTTAATATAGGGAGTCGACCCACAAGAAGAAAGAGTTCAGTGGGGATTGGCCACCTTCGTGCAATTCCATGGGTATTTGCATGGACCCAAACCAGATTTGTTCTTCCTGCTTGGCTTGGAGTGGGAGCAGGCTTAAAGGGTGTTTGTGAGAAGGGACATACTGAAGACTTACGATCAATTTACAAAGAATGGCCTTTCTTTCAATCTACCATAGACCTTATAGAGATGGTTTTGGGTAAAGCGGACACTCCCATAGCCAAGCATTACGATGAAGTTCTTGTGTCGGAGAGCAGGAGAGAGCTTGGTGCTGAACTGAGGAGGGAGCTTTTGACAACAGAGAAGTTTGTATTGGTGGTTACTGGGCATGAGAAGCTGTCTGAAAATAATCGGAGCTTGCGGAGGTTGATTGAGAGCAGGCTTCCTTATCTCAACCCCATGAACATGTTGCAGGTGGAGATATTGAGGAGGCTGAGAAGTGACGATGATAACCATAAACTTAGAGATGCATTGCTCATTACTATTAATGGGATTGCAGCTGGGATGAGGAACACTGGTTAAATCGTGCCACCCCTCCTTGAAGTACAAATTTTTGATGCAAATTACAAATATATAGTTGAGTTTAAATGTGTTTGACATTATGTTTTGTTTTAGACATAGAAAAATTGCATGGAACCTTGAGTGCTTGGTCTCTAAAACGGTGAAAGTGTTTTTGTTTTATCAGATATTTAGTCTGAACCAGTATGTATGATCAGCATAGTCTACTGAATATAGCTGAAGGTTTGCCATGTTGGCTGTCTTGTTTAGTTATNTAAGTGTTTTTGTTTTATCAGATATTTAGTCTGAACCAGTATGTATGATCGGCATAGTCTACTGAATATAGCTGAAGGTTTGCCATGTTGGCTGTCTTGTTTAGTTATGGTTGTGAAAAATAGTTGGGGGAACAGTCTCTTGACATGTCACTGTACAAATTTAGCTTGCTACAGGCCTTTCTTCTTACCAAAAGCTGTTCTTCCTCTGTAACTGCTAGGATTTGGTCCCACGAGTTCTACTTTACTATAAGTTCATGCAGCCGACTTAAAAAATGTTTGAATAATGTTTTGTTTTGTTCAGTTGAGTTTATATATGTGAAAAAATGATTGTTCAAGACTCGGACAGTTGTGGTTCAAATTGAGCTGTAGAATATGTGCTTTGCCCAAAAATATCTATGCAAGAATTTATTATATGCCTTGATATTGACAGCATAGGAAGAGCATCCGATACCTCGACTTTGAGGCTTCCAGATCAATTATTCCATTCCCTCCAAATGCTATCATCTTTTTAGATCACAATCTAATACAAGCAGTGTTCCTAGTTACATTCACAGCTTTCAAAACTGAACTATAAGTACATGTGTGCTGAAGGGGCTGAGACTCAGGCAAGCAAGGTAGACAAGCTTTTGATCTCTAGTGCTGAGAATATCAAAAAGAATGGCATCGCTCAAGGCTGAGAAACCTGCTGGCTCTCAACCAGTTGGGCAGGTGAAGAAAGAGCCTGCCAAAGCTCCAGCCTCCAAGCAGGCTCCTAAGAAGGCCGAGCAGAAGCCTCGAGAGCCTAAGAAGAAGGTACTTGTATAAGCATTTCCACTTGGTACATATTTTTGCAACTTTTTTTCACCTCAATACTGTACTTTTTAACTTGTTTTTCATACTACCGTTGTTTTCATACAAACGTGATTCAAATCCATGTTTTCTAATGTAAAAGCGTGTTTGTAATATAAAGTTGAAAAATTATGGTAGACTGGTAAAAAATTCTTCACGATCTTATGTATTGAAGCCAAAATTTGTGCTTATCATTTGTATAACTACTCTGATTGATATTTTGATAATTTTCTAGACATCAGGTGGCAAGTCAGCAGGAAAGAACTAAGAAGAACGAGGATGACTAGTAGTATGGTGATATGCTATATCATCTTGAGTAGCTGCCTACTGTCCTGTTACTTTTATCAATATCATGAAAGCTCTGGCTTGTGATCTGTTTCTATACATCTCTTCTTAGGCTTGGCCTAAGTAAATAAAAACTACATATTTAAAGGATGATCTTGTTATTACCCACTTTATTATGGTATGAACTCTGGAAAAAAATAAGGAGATCTCTCTGTTGGCATGGTGGAAATCAACTAGAAAGAAAGTTCAAGTGGCCAAAGACTGAACTTTATGGGGAAAAATTGAGCAGAAAAGTAGGTTGATAATTGAGCCGAGTTATTCAAATTCGGCTTGGGCAAGACTCGATTTGAGCTCGGTTCGTATACTAAACGAGTCGAAATTGAATAATTTTTTAAATTTATTTAAAAAACGAGCATAAAAGGCTCGACTCAAAGCTCCAAAAGTTCGGCTCGTTTTTATGTAAAATAGTCGAGCTACTCAGGTCCAGTTCGGTTTGGGCTTAGCTCGAGTTCGGCTCATTTTGGGCTTGACTCGAATTCAGCTCGTTTTGGACTTAGCTCGACCTCAGTTCGTTTCGGACTTGGCTTGAATTCGACTTTAAACGAACTTAACTTGAACAATTTATTAAGTTTGTTTAAAAAAATGAGCTCGATAAGCTTGACTCAAAATTGCAAAGCTTGACTCTATTGTCAGCACTGTAGAAAAGTGTTATGAATGTACAGTGCATCGAAGGGATGACAAGAAAGAAAACCAATTGAAATATGTAACACGCAAATTTAAGTGATTTTTTAAAGTGATTTTGCAATATTTCCCTACATTCACATGAGCGGGGCTATTTTTCACTATATTATTGATAATAATAGGGTTATAATTTATATACCGACAACAGTCGAAAATCCCAACTATGTCAACATTATAAATACTCAACATTCCCATATCGTACGATGGAGCCATTGGACTCCTAAATCTAGTGAATATGAGCCATACACTATCAACAANATTATTGATAATAATAGGGTTATAATTTATATACCGACAACAGTCGAAAATCCCAACTATGTCAACATTATAAATACTCAACATTCCCATATCGTACGATGGAGCCATTGGACTCCTAAATCTAGTGAATATGAGTCATACACTATCAACAACAAAAAGAAAATGGCGACTCTCACATTTCAATCTTAAGTAGCTTAAGATGATAGTAAACAGAAAGTTGCAGTTCATGTTTAGTGCAAAGGCAAAAAAGAGCTTGACTGCGAGACCCACCCGTAGAGCAGGGACAAAAGTTGGCCTTAGTGATCCGATGGTGCCGGGTGGAAGGCCGTCGCTCAACGAATAAAAGTTACTCTAGGGATAACAGCCTGATCTTTCCCAAAAGTTCACATCGATGGGAAGGTTTGACATCTCGATGTCGGTTCTTCGTCACCTGGAAATATAGCGAAATAGGTAACTAGCAAGTACTATACCAAAAATATACAACGTTCAAATAAAAAAAAAAAAAATACCCAATAGAAAAATATGACTCACATGTATGGGAAAGTGTTACAACCACATGTGAGCCGATCGAATTAAATCCCACATCGGTGAGATACAGAAACCAAATTGGGTTAATAACTTAATATATAAATTTTCGGAGAAACCCGGTTGGATTTAGGCAAAAATATTTTGGGTGACTTTTAGGGGTGGAGTCAAAAATTTTGCTCAGGGTGGACACTTTAATTATGTACTATAATTTTGTTCTTTCTAACCAATGACACTATATAATATTTTTATATTTATTATATTATATTTGATATATGAAGTCCATTTAACATAAAAAATTCTAAAAAAAAATGTATATTATCAAGGGCGGAACCATGAATTTCTATGATAGAGGCAAAATATAACTGGTATGAAAAAATATTTAGCCGAAATTAATACAAAAAAATTCAGTTCAAGAATAAAAAAAAAGAATCAACACTAAATTATTGTGAAATAATAAATTCAAATTTATTTAGCCGAAATAAAAATAAAAATTTTGTTTTTAATTTTGGGCCGAAAAAAGGAGAGATAAGATAGGTTTTAGTTAAGTGGGCCAAAAGTTTTGTTTTTAATGTTGAGTTAAAAGTTTTGTTTTTTTAATAGATTTGGGTAGATTGTGATTGGTCAAATATTTGATTTTTAAATAAGTTTGGGTAAATAATAATGAGTTCAATTTTTTTTGTTTTAAATGATCTTAATTTTTTAATTATTTTGGGTAAATAATGTGAGCCTAATATAAATGAATGAGATACACATAATATATATGTATAAATATATAATACATATATCAAACTAATAAAAAAAATAAAAATTTGAGGGGGGGCACGTGGCCCCTGCCTCTCTCCGCCTGTGGTGACCTTTGTATCCAACTTATATATTAGCCCAGACAACTATTTTATATTTTTTTTGACATAATAGAAATTACTCAAGGCACATGTAAGATGACTTAGACACATCTGACCATTAAATCAAAAAAAAAAAAAAATTATTCGAAAAACTCATAAAATATCAAATTGTGGCAGGAGAGAGGAGACAAATTACAGAGGCATATTTTACACAGAATGAAATCAATGGCTCCTTTAGGATATGCTTCAAGATGGGCTTGCAATAGTTTTGTCAATCTGGAATACTAAGTAAAAGCATCTATCAAATACTCTATATTATTTGTACTTAGTTCGAGACTTAATTTGAAGACATATATAATTTAATGCATAAACCTACTGTCAAATCTAATAGACACAATACATTAAGCCTCCAAATTAAGTTTTCGATCAAATAGCATTCCTGTTTACTGATATCAAACCTTAATTAGCTGACTACATGACAACCANTCGATCAAATAGCATTCCTGTTTACTGATATCAAACCTTAATTAGCTGACTACATGACAACCAGGCTTAAAGGAGTCACTCAAAGGGGGAAAAATTCTCTTCGATACATCTTTTTACANTAAACCTACTGTCAAATCTAATAGACACAATACATTAAGCCTCCAAATTAAGTTTACGATCAAATAGCATTCCCGTTTACTGATATCAAACCTTAATTAGCTGACTACATGACAACAAGGCTTAAAGGAGTCACTCAAAGGGGGAAAAATTCTCTTCGATACATCTTTTTACATTGAATTTATTGTTATTAAAACTATATACAAGCTTATTCAGGCAAATCCATGTAATTGCATGACCATATCAAGCTATGGCTTCACCTTCCACAACCATACTTGTGGAAGCACTGGTCTTCACGCGGGTCGATAGGGAACATCATATCGCCAATGCCAAACCTCGTATCGGTGGCTGAGGCAGGAGGACTTTGGCCAGTAACAGAAGGGACTGTAGATGAGGTACTTCCATGAAGTACTCCCATTTTACTAGGCTTATCTGCAAAATCCCACGAACTTGAAGTTGAAGCATGAGAGAGAGAGAGAGAGAAAGAGAGAGAGAGAGAGTACTAAAGATAAAGATGGTCAATCATGACCTAAATCATGAACTTAATTCATGTGGCTTTGATATATATCTTGCATTATATTAGCCACGGATGTTTATTATAGTGATTTTCCACACTATATATATGTGTTCTTACTGTATCAAGTACACAATTAAGTTACGATTTAGTCCATCCATAAGAAAGAATGCTTTTTTAAGTATTGTGTTTTTGGATATAAGTTTTATAGACTGAATCACATTATATCGTATTCTTAATACCATTCTCTATTACACGTCTCGTTACTTGAAACTTGAGAAAGAGAGAGATTCATTGCTAGGTGTGGGGGCTAATATTCGTGCAGGCATGACCGGTGGTACAACGATGATCCAAATCATGAGCAAACAACATAAGATGAAAGTAGACAAAGAAGTAACTTTGTATGACATTTTTGCTATATGATTGTAAGTGAAGATGGGAAATACACAAGTTTATATGCTAAAGTAATCTATGTTTTCCACCAAACAAAATAGATAAGGGGAAAAACTATGTTTTCCTCCAAACAAAATAGATGAGAAGAATTTTGGAAGACTTATGGCATACACTAGGAAGAATCCCTCACTATGATTTTGGATGGTCATGCAATTATTCCCGAGTAAAAGAAAAAATAGTTACACTACACAGATATATAGGATTCAGATTCCCTCAATTACATCTTCCCTACAAGATCATGAACAAGCAATATGTTACGAGAATAGAGAAAGAAACAACTTTGTT